GGGCGGCGCGCTGCCCCCCGAGGAGGAGCTGAAAGCCACGGTGCTGCAGCTGCGGGAGACCGTCCTGCAGCAGAAGGAGACCATCGGGAGTCAGCGGGAGGCCATCCGGGAGCTCACCGGCAAGCTGAGCCGCTGCGAGAGCGCCGACGGCAAGTCCGCCGCGGGGACGTGGAAGAAGGAGCTGGGCAAGGGCAAGGACACTATGGGCGACTTGCCGCGGGACCCGGCGCAGGTCATCGACCAGCTGAGCCGCACCATGCAGACGCTGAAGGACCGGCTGGGGGGCAAGGGACGGCCAGGGCGCGGGGTGGGCCGGGCGCCCTGCCCGCCTGCGCAGAAACATGGAGCGACCTAACGTGTCACGGTGGCTTGGGACCGCCGGTGGACGCAGATAGTGCGCTCAATCGTTGTGGAGATAAAGCCACGCTGGCCAAGCCCTGGGAGTGAGTTGCTTGGTTGACTTGTCTTGTTTCCTTGATTATTTATCTGCTCACTTTAATGGTAAAAAAATCTGAAGGGCTCCTCTGTGACTGTTTTCTCCAACCGCGTGGCGGGAGATAATGGTTTTCCTGCTTGTCACCAGCTTAGTATCTCTGTTAGTATGTCTAAATCTCTCTTTCTGGGGGTGTGACTTCATGGGGTTTGAGCTATAAAGCTGACGTCTTGGGCAGTCAGACCTTGGCATATGGTGCTGAACAGACTAGTGGTAATGAGGAGATTGTGTTGGGCAGATTGTGAAGATGAGATGATGTATTTAGAGCTGACACAGAATGAAAAGAACCTGATGCTGTATGCCTGTGAATAGAAGAGGGATTTGGTCCAAGCCCACTGATAAGTGATTTTCATGAGCCTTTGGACAGTGCCCATGGTTAAGAGGCACTCCTGGAGATATTTTATAGAGACTATTCCCACAGGAATCATGCTGGATGTTGTTTTGCTTTCCACATCCTGAGAGCTACATGCGTGTCCTCCAAAGTGGTGATGTGAGGCTGGCAAGTAACTTCCTAAAAATTATTCTGTGAAGTCCAAACACTCTGGACTGCTTTTCAAGTAAAATTTTGAGTGATCTGGTAGTGTAGCATCCTCTTATTACTGTGGCTGTCTTCTTGAGGCTTTTTTTTTAAGGCTTGTAGAAGAGAAACTCCACTAGAATAATATGGTAGGTAGAACCACTGTTTTTTTCGTATCCTTAAAGATACCAGTGTTATTTGAGAAAGAGTGCTCTTTTTTTTTTTTCAGCTTAAGTGAAAATACTTACTTACAGTTGATCTAAAGGACATCTGACTTCCTTACTCTGCAAATCAAAACTGAGGAAACTGGGTAAATTTGCTTTTGAAGTAGCTTAATTTCTTATTTAAAATGAAAAATAGTTTTTATGTTTACTTAAATTGGCAATGTCACTTGCAGTAAGTAAAGCAAAAATTGACTTAATGTGACACATGTACCCATGCTAATGGAAATGCATCAGACCTGGCTCCCTATGTTGATTTTATTGAACTTAAATGTATGAAGACTCCGTCATATGAAATGCTGGAAGCTTCTTACAAAAGCGCCCTTTTGTTTCAGGACCTGTTTAGCTACAGTGCTGGTAAAAGCAGTGAATGTGACAAGGGCTAAAAAGCAATGCTTCTTTTGTACTTGCTGGATCTTGCTTTCTTCCCTTTGAATCAGGAGCATATTCGCATTTCACAGTTTGTTTTAGAAATTACAGGTTTTTTTCTTTTCGTTTCACCTACAGCACCAACTCCGAGCCAATGTGTCATATGCAGCGCTGCCTAATGACCTTCGAGAGATGCTTCAACGGAGGCTTGGAGACCTGGAACGCCAACTCCTGAGCAAAGTGGCCGAGCTTGAGGATGAAAAGTCTTTGCTTCATAATGAGACATCTGCCCATCGGCAGAAGACAGAGACAGCCTTGAATGCATTGCTAGAAAGAGTATCTGAATTAGAAAAAGGTAATCTGTACGGAATATAAATGCTCCCTGCTTCTAGTGCTGTAGTCTAAGTGTGGACCTTGAGGGAAAGACAGTTAAGGTGCTGGACTAAATAGTAGATGACAGTGCAAATACTTGGATTCTCTTTTTCCTTCTGTCACAGGCTTCCTGCTTGACTGGCCTCTGCACAGCTTTGGCTTCCTGTCTCTTAACTTGGCATATATGGGTGGCTAGGATGAAACTCTTAGTGTTTGTGGGGTGAAAAGATCTATAAGGAAGTAAGTGGAAATAGGAAGAAATATGACATTGGTGTCAGGTGAATACCTAGATAATGTCAAGTACACATTGAAGTAGAGCTGCCTTTCTTTATTTGGTCTAAAAATGATATGGGCTACATTTAATTAGCACAACTGCCTTTGATGTAATGAACGGTTTCCTGCTGCTTTGGAAGTACTGCTTGTGGTCTTCCCTTTCATTGCTGGTTATGACTTTGGGTAACTGCAGATACCTGAATTGTGTCCTATCCCAAGTGTATAGCCTTCAGAGTTTATAGTAGATTACACATGGTGCCACTGGGGGCCACTCTCTTAATCCTAGTCATTTATTCAGATACGTAGATTAATTACTACTGAGATCACTATGCTTGGGTAGAGTCTCTTTATTTGAATTACAAATGCCCATGGAAATGAACTAATGAACAGAACTATCTTTAGGTATTGACTATACATATACCTCCAGAGTGGACTGTGTAGGACTAGAGTACCAGTAAATATCACTGCCCAGTCTTTAAATGATTTTCCAAGGTGAATAGGCTTTCTACTTAAAAGCAGCTTAATGGACATGCTTTCAAAGTGGTACAAACATACATCTCTCATGAATTTTAAAATGCAGCCTAATGGATCCATTTGTGTAATGTATCTAGTTTTGTTGTGGGGTTTTTGGTTTTTTTTAATTTAAAAACTGTGAAGGAGGGGAAAAGGGAAGGAGGAAGAAGAGATCTTCTACTGGCTCTGTCATTTAGTACTTTCTGAGAGCGTAACCTGCAACTGAAGTTCTGGAGAGTTGGCCTGTTAATGTCTTACGTGGCAAGTATTGCTAGTCCTTGTCTCTGAAAGATGTGACTCATATCAGCAAGTCATCAGAAGGGAGAAAGGGAGTAGTGGGAGAACAAGAATGTGTAATTTAGTTAGGTTAAAAATAGCCTGTTCCCACCTTTATTTTTTCTGTGGAGAGAGGGCTGTCTTAAGTCTCCAGGGACATGAAGAATTTGGGCCAGGAACCAAGACACAAGCTTTCTTTTAGTTGTGTAATTTGCTTTCTGTTACAGTGCAGCTGAGCTGTTCTGTGCCTTTGCTCCCTCTGTCAAATCAAAGTGAGGGTAGTAATGATCTAAGAACTTAATGATTTTGTAGATTAAATGCAGACAATATTTAAAGTTATCTGACCTCTTTTGAAAATAGTATTTCTATTATGTTTTTATTTTAAATGCCATATTGTTTAGCTTCTCTTCTGACAACTAACTAGAGTATCATAAGCTCCTTGTTGTCCTGAGACTAAATAAAAGGAGGGGAAAAAAAATAACCTTATAAGGTGACACTATGAACTTTGGCTTTTTTTTATCTGTAGTTGTGATAGCTGTCTTCAGTTACCAGTGGGGCAGAAGAGCTTGAAGTTTGTACAACTGTTGTGATTCCCAAAGTCTTCTGGTAATTCCTTTCGGCTGCCTCCATTGACAGCAGTAGATGATACATTAAAAGGCAGGACTGGGTGGAAGAATGATCCTGCAGCCAATAGTGCCTGGACTTAAATGTGATTCCTAGCTTTGTTGGAGACCTCAGCAGGTCACTTGTCATGTCTAAATCTATTTTCTCCATCTCTAAAAGGGAATAACAATATTCTCACCCATTTTGTCAAAAAAAAAATTGAGATTCTTTAGGAAAAGAACTGTTTTATCTTGTGCATGTGCCCATTGCCCAGAACAGGAGGATCTTGTTATCATTTGGAGTTGTGGACGTTTTCAAGTCATGAGAACAAACTGAAAAATATAAAAAAGATTAATATTTTTTGTTCTTTTCCAACCCATTATTGCTTCCTTAAGTCCTTTCACAGAGTGACTAATGCTCTTGATGGAGTATGTTTTGGTTTTGGATTTTTTTATATGTGAGATTGGTTGTACCAGCCTAATGGAGGTTGCTCAACATTAGCCCTCACACCCTGGGGGTTTTTGCTTAAAATTTAGAATATTTCAGTTTTTGGTCTGTAAATTCTTAAAGACAGATGCAAGCATCAGACAAGTTTTTTTCTTTTTCCACCCCCTCATTTTGTGAAAAATGCAGTCAAAACACTTCAGTTGCTTCTAAAAATGGGAACTGAGAGAATGCCAATGGTTTAAGAATTACATATGAGAATTGTGGCAACCTTTTATGACAACAGCTCTTCATTTGGATTGGAGTGTGAAGTTTGGCAAGGGGATTGAATTTGTTTCAGTAGTGTGAGTAAAGGAAATGAGTAGGACTCAGAAGAACAGGTTGCTAAAAGGTTGAGGGTGACACTGCTACAGAACTGTGGGGTTTTATTATGTGGGACTTCTCTCTTTAATATTTAATTCTAGAAAATTACTTGTAAGCAACTACACCAGAAGTATACACATCCTATATAATACAGAGTATTTCAACTTCAGAAAGCTTTGGTCTTGAGTTCTCAATTTCATAAACATCTCTGTATTATCTTGCTGGTTTTTTATCATATCTTTTAGAAAAAGCTAAATAATAATTTCTGCTTTTATATTAAAACAAATGTCTAATGTTTTCATAGTTCATAACTTTATATTGCAGTTTTCTTCAGGTCACTTTGAACTTCAGCTTTTATGTTTTTGTTCAGATGTTCTCCTGATTTGTCTATGGGACAGAAATAAGTTCTACTGAATTTCACTTTGCTTTCTGGAATATGTCAGCTTTTTCTTACTTCAAATTTGCCACCCAAAATGAGAGCATCAACTTGTTTCTCAGCCTGCTAACTGTAAAATGGGGATGCTGCTGCTAGCTCCCTGTGTAGCAGTAGTAGGAAAAGAAATACTGTTTTTGAAGCACTGTGATGCTTTAATAATGAGCATGCCAGAGAATCCATGTGTAGTAACAGTAAATATCTTTTAAAACAGTTTGAATTGTTTGAAATGGGCAAGCCTCCAGCCACGAACTAAGCAATGAAGAGAGAAAATATTTAACAGCCTCTTATTAGTTGTCTGCCATCTATTCTTTTGCTCTAAATGAGCAGGAAAAATAAACCAAGTAATTACCATGATGTATATAAAATCTAGTATTTTTCTGTGCTGCAAAATCAACATTCAGTAATACTACTTCAATATATTTTTTGTGTACTTCTCTAAATTGATTAAAATTACAAAGATTCTCAATATCAATTATACTGTTTCTTAACCTGAATTACAAATACATTATTTTGTTTAATGTTAAGGGTTTTTCTTCCTCAATGTAATTCTAGGTAACAGTGCATTTAAATCTCCTGATGAATTCAAAGTCTCCCTTCCTCTTCGCACAAACTACTTATATGGGAAGATCAAGAAGACTCTGCCAGAGCTGTATGCTTTTACTGTATGCTTGTGGTTGAGATCAAGTGCTTCTCCTGGAATTGGCACTCCATTCTCATATGCTGTTCCCGGGCAGGCTAATGAAATTGTCCTCATAGAATGGGGGAATAATCCAATTGAACTGCTAATTAATGATAAGGTGAGAATTGAGTAACTCTTCTTCATTGTCTGCGTAACCAGAATAAGGCCTGAACCCTTGGTACTGGGGTTGTTGAGACAAAGCAGCATGACATCTAGATGTGCACACACTTACGCATGTCCTCTGAATTCACAAGCAGATCTTGGCTTCTTGTTTTTTGTTTTTTTTGTTTTGTTTTGTTTTATGAAACAGAAGCAATATTTGAAGCAACACTATTGCAAAACCAGTGATATTTAAGCCAGTTGCAGTATTTCTGCCTTTCTAATTGTAGAAGTTCAGCTATGTTAAAACGAATTTTGCAGAGGCAGCAAAAGGCATGTAATTGCGGCAGGTGGTTTTATGCTTAGTGACTGAACATCAGTTTAAATACAAATTTTTTCAGACTTTAGATACAAAAAGCAACAATTGTTGCAACCACGGATGGTTTCTGACAAGCTTCAGAATGAGGCTTCAGGAAAACAAGACCTGTTGAAATTTGGCATTAAAACAGATTACAAATACGTCCGTTCTCCCCACCTTCAGTTAGGTTTCCTAGTAACTTGCTGCTCTCTGAGGGATCAGGTGTTTACAGATCTAGAATACAACTCAGGTGGTTCAATCATGTCGCTAGTTAAGGACTTTTAACAGTCCTATCATCCTCACAAATTAATGAAAGTGAAAAGCTGATTATTTTTAATGGTTTGTGGAAGAGAAGGAAGCTTGAGTTTGCTTATCTCTAGCAATAACTTTTTCTCTTCAATATTATGTCAGTACTACTAAAGTGGGAGAAAGAAAAGCCTCAGAGAACATCACAGCTGCTCCATAGCCCACTGCATTTGTGTCTTTATGTTGACTTGAGTAAGTTTTCATATCAAATTCCTAAAGGAGCATAATTCCTCCTTATTTGGAGCCCTACGTAATAGTTCCCACAAGTTTTGCTGGAAGCAGGCAGATCCATTTGTCAGAATTGTTACTGCAAATGATGCAGGCAAGCTCTGGATTTTAAGAGGAAGTTAACATGAGCCCTGGATGGGAAGTTAGTCCTAAGCACTGAGATTTAAACAATAAATGGCACAGATTAATATGCAGGATTGGTGGATTGATAGCAGTGTAGACTGGTACTTGTGTCACTTGATTCTGGATGAAACAAAGGCTCATATCTAGAATAAAAAGCATGGCTGCATTCCTGAATATAGGAGAGCTGGACAAAGTAGAAAGGTGTGGACTAACTTCTGCCTCCGAAGTTTTTGCTTCTGAGGACAGAATATATACTGTCCCTTCTTAAATGTTGTACTTGAACTGGTAGACTTGGTTTGCGACATGCATTATTCTTTGTTTTTTGTAGGTTGCCCAGCTCCCTCTCTTCATTAGTGATGGAAAATGGCATCATATCTGTATAACATGGACAACCAGAGATGGAATGTGGGAGGCTTTTCAGGATGGAGAGAAACTTGGCACTGGGGAGAATCTTGCTCCTTGGCACCCAATTAAACCTGGAGGTGTCTTGATCCTGGGTCAGGAGCAGGTGAGTGAATGACAGTGTGTTCCAGGGTTTAAAAAAAAATAAACCGAGACTCCCCAAACAAAGAGCAACTGTGAGAAAATTTCTTTGTTAAACACTTGGTCCTGTTGTATACACAGTGTCAGATTAAAACAAAGCAACAAATAATTAATTCAATCACACATTGGTATATTTTGTTTCATGTATTAAATATTCAGAATATTCATGTTGCAGCTATTCTATTCCCACTCTTAATGCTACAGTGTGCAAATTCATCAGTAATCTGAAAAATGCCTTAAATTAAATCCTTTGAGCTAGATTGCTGCTAACTTGCAATGTGGCCACTCAAGTTACAGAAAAAAGACAGAACAGGCCTGTGCTGTTGTATGAGCAGTCAAAAAGGAGCTTGCTGAAAGCAGACCAAGTATAATTGCCTTGATTTGTTTTATTTTTTTTTAATTGAAGCCAAATTGACTATCTCCATTAGCAGTTTACGGTTTTCCCCCTTCCTTTCCTCTTTATCCCGAAAATAGTAGGAATAGTCCTGGAGCCCCAGAATAGACCAAGGAAAGTGTGTGTATGGGGGTGAGGGGACCAACAGCTATGGGCACTGGAGTGTTTGTGGGTATGTCAGTATCTTTTATAATTTGGCCTGCTATGGAGAACTTCCTCCAGATTGAATTCTACAGCTTTTCAGGTATGTAACAAGTTTTTAGAATAGTGGAATCTGTCATTCATTCAGAATTTGATGTGTACTTTAAAAATGATTCTGAAGTCAAAGGGATGAACTCTAAATCAGACATTTGGTGTCTTAATCAAGATGTAGATAAATAACTCTGCTAATGCAAATGCTAATAAAGTTTGAATATTAGTACTGCCAACAGAAAGCATTCATGAGGTTAAGGATAAGTCCTTTCTGAATATTGGGGGGGAGGGGAAATCCCAAAACAAAACCCCAAAAGATCTGGAATCTCATTAAGCTATTGCCTATGAACTGTGTGGCTCTTACCTTTCACATTTTTTTCTCTACCTGTTCTTTGTACAATTATACATATACTTAAAAAAAGATATTGTAATGAGCATCAGGAGACAGCCTTTCTCCAGGATTCCCAGGTCACAATGGGGCAATGAAAAATTAGTTTTGTCCTGATACTGATTTTAGTAGATACTTATCCATGAGAGAATAGTAAATTCATAATCCTAATACACTCTATACAGCAGATGCTGCGGTGCACTACTAAGTGGCTGGCAGCTATTCTGTGACTCTCATGCCATTTGCCTGTACTGTGCTTGGTTCTATCCTATGCTATCAGTTTCATATTAGTCTGATCGCACAAAATGTGTGATTTCCATCCTTGAGTAGTGGATGGAGCAAGCAAACACTCTTAGGCTTATGCAGTAGCAGTTTTAGTCATTTGGTACAACCAGAAGAAGCCTCTGTATTTGGATCCAAGAGTCGCATCTTATAGGCCCTGCAGACCTAAGTCAAGGGCTGCAGTTACAGTTTAATCTATGGCTATAAAGCTTTTGGAGTAATCTGAAACATCTGTGCAGTTCTTGCTGAAGTTGTCCTGTTCCAAGCGTGCAAAATGGCTCCTACATTAGCCTCAATATTTAAAGCTGCCTTCCTGCTCTACTGCCTAGGGGCAGGGTTAGTTACGTATAGCCTTTTGAGTGACAGTATGCAGTCACTACTGTTTGCTTTGAATTGTTTTGACACATTTCAGACTGGAGCTTTTAACTGTCCCATAGAACATCTTGTTCAAAGTAACCCTTCTAGAAACTTGAAGCTGTTTGTTTCTCTGACCTAGCTCTGCACCTCCTTCTAGCAGTGTGGCGGTGGGGGGAGGGTCTTCAAGTTTGAGGAAGAAAATGCTGAAATAACCTTCTCATCTAATCTAACTCTTGTATGCCTAAAGGACACAGTAGGAGGAAGATTTGATGCAACTCAAGCCTTCGTTGGGGAGATGAGCCAGTTCAATATATGGGACAGGGTCTTAAAAGCTGAAGACATCATGAATATTGCTAACTGCTCTACCAACATGCCTGGCAACGTCATACCCTGGGTTGATAACAACGTTGATGTGTTTGGAGGTGCTACTAAATGGCCTGTGGAGACGTGTGAGGAGCGTCTGCTAGATTTATAGCTGCAATCGTTCCCCATTCAAGTGCCCCCTTTAGCAGGACAATCTTCTGTGCAGTCTAAAGCATTTATTTTTCTCTCTGCCCTTCCCCAATCTTAACTCCTCAAAAGAATTAAAAAAAATCAGTAAACTGCCTCAGTGCAAAGATAGCTGCTAGTCCGGGGCATTGAGCCTGACAATGGAAGAACCACTTCTTGGCTAGAGCAGCCCTTGCTTTCTTATGGCTTGATCCAAAAACATGCTTTGGCCTGCAGCAGTCTTTCAGTTAGGCCTGAGTTTAGTACATCAGTTCTTCTGGCAGGGAAGGGGAACAGCCATGCACATGTTAACTATAGCACTCTTTTTGATAATGTGCAGTGCTGACAAAGTGCTAAGATTAACAGGCTAAATGTGAATCCTTCTTTCCAGTCTATCATTTCCTCTTTGAAGTTAAGCCTTGCTTTTTTAGCCCGCTTAAAAGAAACCACTTAATCCTTACACTACAGTGGTTATGGTGCACCTATGGGTAGAGAAGAACAGCCACTGTCTGAGTGCAAGGGTCTTGCTTTTTAATTTACGAATTAGAAATCCTTATTTTATGATAAGGAGGCAATGTATTTGAGACATACTATTCTAGCTCAATTTGAAGAAAGGGCTGTGTAATCAGCATAGCTCCATTGAAAGAGATGCTTCAGGTAAGATTCTGTCCCAAAGTCTGTCTTTGGCTAGCCAGGATCCCAGTGTAGGTGGATGGATGAAAGATTGTATTTGTGTCTTCTGTAGGCTGAATGTACTGAATTCATAGTGACCTGGCTTGTAAACTTTTCTCTATTGTTTTTCTTGCTTTAGTCAATGTCTTTATTTTTTTAAATATACAAGCTGTGATTAAGTGAATTTCCATTTTGTTTTGCTTTGAAAGGCCTTTTTATGAGCAAGTGCCAAAGTTCAGTTTCTGCTTGCTGAGAATCACTATATATTTTTCCAGCATAAGTCTTCTGCACTGTTTTCTGTTACTATAATGGTCCGATATAATATGAAAATGTGCTGTTTTTTCAATTCTTGTTGACTGTATCTTCTGTAAGCACTGGGCTGACAACTACATTTTTTTAATCATTTTCTCTCAATATTTTGCAAACAATGTTGCTGTTTCCTTGGCATTGATGTGACTATTTGGTTTGTGGCTCGCAGATAGCAAATGCACTGTACTGGGAAACAGTTAATGCTTTTGTTATTTAAAAGAAAAACTATTTAAAGGGGGGGAGGGAGAATTTATAAAGCTAAATATCATATTTTATTTTTCATATGTTTGAATTGTAAGAATAATATGGTGATAGTCCCATTTGTAGGATAAAGTTACATTTTGCCATTAATATGTAGTATGCTGTTCTTAAAAGAAGATTCTTATAATGAACTTTTAATTAAAATGCACTGGAAAATGAGTCTTAATTCCTTTATAGTAACACAAGACACTGAATATTCTTTCATAGCTGCTATGAGTTCAGCTACTGTCTCTCTAGACTTATACAAGTACAGTCCTGTAAGAAGTTATCTTTAATTCCCTATGTGTCTTAAATCACAATCTTCAACCACAGGGGCCTTGGTTGTGCGTGTAACTTTAATTGGTGCGAGGGTCTCCACATTTGGATGTGGCGCGGTGTCTGGAACTCAGGCTGAGACCTGCCTCCTACCACTGTGAGCTTAGAGGCACTAGTTTATGACATGGCCTGGGATACAGCAGTTTCGTTGGAGTGGGATGGGACACAGAAGATGGGTTCATGTTTATTTTTACCATTGTGAGAAACTGGAATTGTGACCCCTTCTGGGTGGAAGTACTGATTGTAGGCAACTTCAGTGTTCTAAACCAGTGTGAAAAGAACCATTCAACAATGAGATGACTGGATCAAACGTGATGCACCGGTGTAGTGTGACTGTATGCAACATAAGTTGTAAAGTGCAGTGTAGTGTCCATGGGGTCTGACAATAAACCAAATGCTCTGCTTGGTAAACTAACAAGTTGATAGCACTCTATGTAAGAGAACAACCAGCTGGGTGGTGATGTTTATCCAGCTCTGACATCCTTCTCTGGCCAAGGAGAGTTTGAGGTTTCTATGAAACATTACACAACTTGATTTCAAACATTCTCATTCTGTTTGGACTTAAAACAATCACCCCCACAACAGTACTTTCCCTGCCCTAAGGGAAAAAAAAAATCCCACAAAAATCCCTCACTAGGCAAAGAATCTCTGCCCTGAGTTTGGGGAGAGTGCAAAATTCTCATCTTACATGTGATGGAGACCAACAGAGGCATCAGCCCTGCAGTCAATCCACCTTTCTTTAGCAAGTTTTTTCAAAATAAAGGGAAGGAACTGAAGTCTGGAGTTATCTGTGCTGGGCTCAGCCCTTTCAGGAAATAGCTTTTGCATATTTCACTCTGTTCTTAAAAGGTGCAGCGGTGAAATTGTCTTGGACACTTGCCTGTACGGCTAGGAGCTTGCGTGTGGATGTGGTCTGTTGTTTTTAAACACTAAGTCAGTGTTTGGGTTAATTTCTTGGTTGAGGGAAGCAGAGGGTCTTTACACTTCAGTTGGCCATCTTGATCTTTATTTAGAGAGTTATTTAAACATGCTGCCCATCTTGGGTCTGTCTTTAGCACCGACTTTAACAATAAACACCTGAGTACAGAGCCCCACCTGTATGGGGAGGTGTTTGTGGGTGGGGGCTGCAACAGCTTTGTGTTGTGCACAGGGAGCACCTGGGCTGGGAGTTGCTGTTAGGCTGGTGCTGCCGAGAGCCTGGCTGCTTTCTTCCTCGGGTTTTGCTCAGGCTGTGTGAAGGAGGTGTGTAACAGAGCTTTTCTTCAGTGTGGAAATCAATATTAGAAGTTGCGTTTTTTTCTGAAGTATGTCAAGGTGCTTAGGTGAGAGAGTGTTTGGGGATGTTTATCCTGTTGCAACCTGACCTGGAGCTGGGATGGGTCTTTTCTGCTAAAGATAAACAACTTAGTCCTCTGTTTTTGGGCTTGTTTTTTTATTGATTACATAACCAAGATGGTAGGGGTTTGGGGAGAGGGTTTTGTTGTTTTTATTTTTTAAGATGCCAACTCTTTATTAAAAGCCAAAGCTATGGAGTGTATATTCTGTTGAAAAGTTTTTGGTTTTTTTAAATTTTTTACTATATATATTCTTTCGTTTGTGCAATAGTGCCCTTTTCATTAAAAAGAAAATATATGTATTGATTTCTATACCTTTATCTTGCAATGAAAAGCTACGGCTGTTATTCTGCTGTTCCACATTCTGGGAGTCACATGTTTTATGTGCATATATAAGCAGATGGCAAAACAGGAGTAAATATTACCATATTCAGCATCTATACTGTTTATGGAGCGTAGAAGTGACAAGACAGCCTTCAGTTCCCAAACTGCTCTGAATACACAAAAGTAATAACTTATGGAAAGTTGACTGACAGCACTTGGAACATGCAGTAATGCAGATTTCTAGTGAATCTGCTTCTGTTTAAAAACAGGCAGAGCTAGGGCTCCTAAAAGTGGTGTCAGTGATCCTAACAAGTGGGATGCTCTTGGGAATTGTGAACTGGCTGGGTCTCCAGGTGACTTCTTGGGTGTGAATGCTGTTCAGTTGGTTTCTGTAATGCACTGTTCTGTTTGTATGTACTTGATGCATTTAATGGTTGTTGAGCAACAAAGGATCTAGCATTTATTATGTTTAAATCCAGGTTATATTTCTTCAAAGGCAAGGTTTTTTGACTAACTGGCTGGCCATGAGAAAATGCAGGTCATGTCTTACATTTGGTATCTGCTTGAGGGCTTTAGCTATGCACTTGCTGTCTAACTAGAGCCAAATGTTGCTGAGGGGAGGAGGGACACCTCTGGGGCTTTGGGATCCCCTTGTGAACGGGTGACTGACTCCTTCGTGCAGGTGACTTCCTGCTGGGCAGCGCTTACTCATTAAACTGTTAGTTTAGATCTGAGAAGTGCAAGGAAGGCCACAGAAATTCTTGCCGGTAAAGCTCTACCCTCATTTTTACACACTCTTCCCCAGTGTTCGAATACATGAGACTGCCAGGGAGAAGCTAATTCTGTTTTGCTCCAGAGAGCTGGTTTCCCTCAGGCCTTTCCTAACGGCGAAATGCAAGCTAGTAGCAAAACTGATGCTTTGTATTAGGTGTTTAAAGCTGGCACTTTCTCCATCAGGGTAACTTGTTCTAAAAAAATGTTTATATAACTACAAAGTAGACTTCTTACTTGCTAATGGCACCTATCCCTTTGTATAAGGATTCTTCATCCAGCTGATTTCAGTTATCCAGGTTGGGAGGGAAAATCAGCCACTTTCTACTGCATCATCCTTGTAGGGACCTGAATCTTGCTAGGAGTGCAGATACAGAGAAAATGGCCAGGCTGAGGCTCTTACCACAGATGATGTTCCCTTGATGCTGCTGTAGGAATCTGAGGCTAGGCACAGCAAGGACCCTGCTGATGGAGAGAGTCAGGTACCATCAAGCTCACGGCTGAAATTAAAGGTCTATTGGTAGCCAGTTAACCTGGGGGTTTTGAAGGTGGTGTGTGATTTCCCCCCTCCCCCCCAAAATGTCTTTTTGTGTGTGTATGTGTGCGTATATGTATGCACAAAGAAGAAGTTGGACCTTGATAATGGTCATGGTTTAGCTCTGAGGCTTAAATAATACATGAGTTTTACGGAGCTAAAAATCTTCTGGAAAGAATTGAATTAATTGCACCCCTGGCTATAGCCGTTTCTAAAAGGTTGCACTTAGAAAAGTATAAATTTGCACAAGGAGTTCAAAGGTCCATTTCTTTCTCCACAGGAGGGCTGTGCTGATGTTTTGGCAAAGCTTCAAATACAGAAGCTCCCTGATGGCTTGATGCCACTGAGAGGAGTTGTTTTATTTATTAAAGATGCTTTGACCTTTTACCTGAGGTGGCTCCCAGCACACATTTGTTCAAGCGGTTTAGCTCCTGGCAGTGCTGTTCCCAGGTGCTCCTGCCACAT